TTAAATTTAGTGAAGTGCTGTGTTTTCGTTTCGTTTAAATTATTCAATTTTGATTTTAATCTTTAAAAGTAATAAATAAAATTTTGATTTTCTATTTAAAATTTTATGAAAAGCAAAAAAAGTTAACCATAACATTTCATTCATACAAAATGTTGATTGGATTTTTCTAAAAATAATTCCTGAAATATTTATAATAATATCTTTTAAAATTGATAGTTAGTAAATAATTATTTTTTATAAAAAAATAAATATTATTCTTACCATTTAAAATATTTTTAAAATTTAAAGCTAAGTTGTTTTTAAGGTTATTTAAAAAGTTGTGAAATTTAATAGCTGTATATAATAGAGTTTGATACAAATTGATATAAATTGTTGTAGCTGAATTTATTTGGGGATCAAATAAAAAAGGTAATGCTTTGTTTGAAACCTTTTTAATTAAAAAACACATAAATTTATTATTAAAGTCTTTATAATCTAAATAAACTATATGATCTTTATTTGCTATATTATTATAAAAAATTAATTAATATATGTATTTATTACTTTTTAATAATTATTATTATATACAAACTCTTATTTGATAGTGTTGAATAGTTTTTTTGTACTTCTAATGTTTCACAATTTATTAAAAAACCGCACCATGGAATAAATTGATAGTCACCTCTTTTTAAAGTACCCTGTTGGTCAGTATTTGAATAATAGAAATTTGTTTTGCTTGGATTTGATTTAACATCATAACCTGGTACCTTGTTATAAAATAAATTTCTAAAAGCATCAATATTAGGTTTATATGTAGATACATAAAAGTAATCATCAATAAATCTAATCATAAAATCTAATTCATTATTATTATTATTATTATTATTATTATTATTATTATTATTATTATTATTATTATTATTATTATTATTATTATTATTATTATTATTATTATTATTATTATTATTATTATTATTATTATTATTATTATTATTATTATTATTATTATTTTTGATATAATTATGACTATTATTTGTATTTTTTTTTAATAATGGTTTTAATATATTATTTTCTAAATGACCTAAAAATAAACTGCATAAATGAGTTGAGCATAAAGAACCTTGGCCAATACCAACTTTTTGATGTAGTAGTCTTGACCCATATTTAACATAATGTTCAAAAATATGTTGATGAAATAAATCTAATACTCTCTTTTTTGTTATAACTTGATAAACTGGTAGATCTTGTGCAATCATTTCGGAATTTATCTTAACATTATAAATTGCTTCTTCGAATGTTGGTAAATTATCTAATGAACATGCTTGAGTTAAAAGTCTATTGAATACTTGTTTCTTTTTATCATTTGATATATTTGTCATTATCTTTTGAACAAAATAGTTGTCGTGTTCGAATGTTTCACCTAAAATACTATAAAGCTTTTCTTGATTAATTGTGTCATAACATCTTGTGATATCGATTGAGATTAAATATAACCTTTTTCTTGAAACTAATACCTTATTTAGTTGGTCTCTTATTGATTTAAATTTTTCATAAATTTCATTTTTGGTAAAAACTGATGATCCAACAATATTTTTATTATTTAACTAGAAAATAAATAAATATTAGTATAATTATTATTTAATTGTTTTAAATTTAACGATATTACTTACAATTTCAAATTTTAAAATAGGGAAGGCAAAATCGGCTAATGATTCATTTATTGATTGTGGAAATTGCATTTTTTTAATTGTTGAATCAATAGGATCAAATACAGGTACAACTAATTTCTTTGAACTTGAATTAACAATTGGTCTGAGATTGGACGTCTTTGGTATAAACCTAAGTTTTGAAAAACCAAATTTTCTATTTCTAAATAAATTTTTATTGGCCTATAAAAAAAAAAATGTAAAGTTAGTTTTGCAAATTTATTTGTACATTGCGCAAAATATAATATAATGGGTACCTACAAAAATATTTGAATATACTTTATATAATAAATTTTCAGTTTGAACATTACACAAAGAATACCAATCATATTTTCTGTAGTATATTAAAGAAAATAAATCTGCGCCTTCAGTACAATAAAAGTAATTTTTAATAATTTGTGGCAAAACTTCATCAAATATCCACCATATAAATCTTACTAGATATTCTCTATTCTTTAAAAAGAATTCTTCAATATTGAATTGATTACAAAACTCTAATAATTTTAAACTTGAACCATTTCTTAAACTACCAAACATTAATAAGCCTAAAAATCCAACATAAAAATTAAATTATTCGTTAGAATAGGTTGGTATCTGGTGGGAATAGTAAATATAATATACATAAAACTTTACCTTTATTAAATAGTTTCTGATTATAGTTGCTGCCCCAAACCCTTTTTGGAAATAATTTACTTGTTATAATATTTAGAAATTTGTAAACTATATTAAATGGTATATTTCTATTTATTAAAGATTTTAAATCGATTGCTGTAGACTGAATATTAGTTAGTAAATCTATAGGATTATTTATTGCTACATGTTTTTCGTATAATGTATCAAGTGTGTGTCTAAATTCTTTTGAAAATGATAGTTTTTCGATTATATTTGTAAAAATTGGTAAATTTTCTTTAAAATTACTTTGAATTCTAATATTCTTCGGAAATCTTTCAACCTTTCTAACATATGGACAAAGTGGTGGAAATTTAAAGATATACCATACTAATTTTTTTGAATCATTATTTGTAAAAAATTTATTATTACTATTATCATTATCATTTATATTATCTTTATAATCATTCAGTTGCTTTAAAAATCTATTCGGTATAAAAGATCTTACTGGTCCATTTGAATAAAATATATGACAATGACCTATTATTTCATTGTTTTGAATTTGCTTTGTATCATTATTAATTCTACAGCTTTTTTTAGATTTACTATTAATATTATTGTTATTTTGATTATTTTGATTATTGCTTATATTTAGATTTTTCATATCTTGTTTCTTTTCTTTATTCTCTTTTATTTGTTTTTCTCTGTTTGTCTGTTGAATTTCTTTAATTTTTTTCCTTTTTCTCATCCAGCTTGGTTGTCTTTTATTTTTATTATTGATGTTGGTGTTATTATTATTGCTATTATAATTATTATTACTATTATTACTATTATTATAATTGCTTTTATTTTCTTTTTCTTTTATTAAATTATTTATTCTAATAAATTTTGAAATTGGTATACCTGATATTTGAATATATATATTTGGACTAAAAAATGATCTTGTAAATAAAAATTCATTTTTTAAAATATTTGAAAAAATTTCCTCGTGTCTTTCTATTATTTTTAAAAAAAATGAATTTGATAAAATAAAACCAAATAACGAGTTTGGGTAAATCGAATCGTTGGTATTAAACTGCATTATTATAAATAATAATTTTAGTATTTGAGGATAAATAAAATAAAATAAATTATACATACATAATGTAAAATTGTTGACTTTGAATTATCTAAAGAAATAGTTTTAAATAAATTTATAAACTTTAAATATCCACCACTGTTAATATCATCTCTTTCTCTTTTATTATTTTTATTTTTATTATTATTATTATTATTATTATTAATATTATTATTTTTTTGCGATTCTAGGCTATTATTTGTTTTATTGAAAGAAACGAAAGAGTTTAATAAAAAATTTCTATATTCAATAGAATCTATAGTACTGTTATAAACATTATTGATGGCATCGTCTCTGGTTATTGTTGGATTTAATTCTTCTATTTTTAATACTAAATATCTTAATAGTGTTACAACTTCATATTCTGAATTATTATTAAATACAAGTTTAAGAAAATAAGGTTTTTTGAAAATTGAAGATAATGGTGGTGTTTTTGCTGAGGTTATTGTCGTTGTTGTGCATTGCAATGTCATAATGAAAAATAATTAAAAAAAATAAAAAAAAAAAATTTAAATTGATTTTTTTTTTTTTTTTTAAATTTTTTTATTTAAATTATTTTTATATTCATTGTTTCCATTATGGGCGGTATATTTCAAATATATTATGTTTTTAAATGAATTAGTTAATAATAATTATAATAATAATAATAATAATAATAATAATAGTAATATAGATAATAATAATTATAATAATAATGCTACACCCACCCATGATGAAAACTTAGATTCTGAAGAAGATGAAGAACAAGATGAAGATTTCGCAGATAATAAAAAAATTCAAGCTATTGAAAATGAAAGTAATATTAATTCAATTATTACAACTTCTATACAAGAAAGAAATAGCAATAGGAATACTATATTCATCTCTGAATTTGATTTTAATAAATCATTAGAATTTGTATTAAATTGTAAGTATTTGATATAATAAAAAAATTCATTATAATATATATTATACTAATGATAATACATCAGATATAAATAATAATAATAATAATAATAATAGTAAATCAGAAAATCATTTAGAAAAGAGAATAAAAATAACAAATAATGATGGTACAGTTAGATTGACATCAAATGAATTTCAAAATAATAATTATGAAAATATATTTTATACATCATTTCAAAATATCAATAGTTTTTTAATAAATAATAGATTAAATTGTAAGCAGATTAGTATTTTATTCACAATTATATTAAGTCCAAAAATTGAAAAGATTAGATGTTATTCAGTACTCAAACATATGAAACCAAGAGAAACTATATTGGATCAAGACTTAAAGAAAATTATATCATCTTTAAATATTGTTAATAATAAATCAAAAACATATCCAATTAAAATAGGTAGATGGTTAGTGGAGAATATTGGTTTTTTAAATCAAGATATTTTACATTCACATTATCAATTATTTTTTAATTATTTAAAGGATTTACAATTAGGGTAAGGTTTTTTTTTTACATATCTATACACACATACATCATGGGTTCTTTTTATATTAATAGTTATATTGCTTTAGACGTGTATTTGTAGATATTCTAATAAACATTACAAAGAAATCGGACGTAAAATTATTTAGAAGCAAATGGTTAATGTCAGTATCTAACATTTCAAAATTCAACTATATCCTACCACTTTTAAAAGTTTATCAAATTTTTGATCCTATAAATATTATTTTAAATCAAAAAAGACAAACATCAACAGCACATCCTAAACAATCAAATGGTTTTGAAAATAATAGTTTCAACAACAACAGCAACAACAATATAAATAATAATAAAATAAACTATAATAATGTTAAGAATAATATTAACGAATTCTCTGTAAATATCGAAAATATAATTCTTCCAAATAAAATTGGTGATGTTTTAGAGAATGAATATTCGGCCCATTTATTAAGTTTATCAAGTTGCTATGGTTGGTATAGAAATTAATATATATACAATGAAATAGTAATAGCACTAACTTTTATCATTATTAAAATTGTTTTATTAGATCCATCAATCATTAGGTTTAAAAATTGGATATCAGATATTTTGCAAGATTTGACATTCTCAAAAAGTTCAAAAGATATTAAATCAAAGATTGAAACCGAAAAGCCATTATATAATCTTGTAAAGTTTTTAGAATTTTTTCAAGAGACCATTGAAGACGTAGATTTATATTTAGTTAATTTTCTTAGGATTTGGGACGGAGATTTACACAGAGAGCCAATATTTAAACTTCTATCGCGTATAAACATTTATTCTTTTGAATATTTATACTCCAACTATCTAAAGCCATTACACAAATTATTTTCAGTTATGGACTTTGATTTTAAGGTTCAGGTTTTTAGGTGTTATACAAATTTGCTAAAATACTGGTTAGCAAATGACTGGTTAAATCTTTGGAATCGAAATCATTTTAAAAAACCATTGTTTACAAAGTAATTATTTTTTTATTTTATACCATCTAATTAATATTATGTATTAACTTTTTTTTTTTTTTTAAAAAAATTTAAATTATAGGATTAATAATAATGTCGAATATTATTCCACTATTATTGAGTTTTCAAAATACTTTGATCAGTTTTCAATTATAGCCCTAATTCAAACTAACGATCATCCAATAATCCAACATTATATTTTAGATTTTTATTCATTATCAAGTTTAATTGTTAAAAAGTTTAATTTAGGATTCACAATTACACCTTCAATTCATTTATTTAGAAAACTTTATTTATCAAATCATTCCATTACAATCTCTAGATTAGGTACCATTCTAACAAACTACTCAATAGAGTTCAGCCATTTAAAGGTTAATATTCAAAATTCTGAAAAGTTAAAAATTAAAGAGTTAAAATTTACAAATATACCAAATTTTAATAATAATATCCAAAATATAAATAATTGTTTTTTAGAATTGGTTAAAAATTTATTTAATCAACAAACTCAACAAATTAATTATAATAATAATAATAATAATAATAACAATAATAATAACAATAATGATAATAATGGGAAAAATCAACAACAATCACCAGATAACAAAATTAATTTATCACTTTCAATCTATAGTTCTTTTGTTTTTTTCAATTATTTCCATATTTACAATAATAGAAATAGCAAAAAAGATAATTATTTTAAATTTTTAGATGACATTGGTCATAAAGGTCTATATAATTTTTTAATAAAAATAAAAAACAATTCTTAATTAAGAAATAAAAACAATTTAGTTTTTGGGGGGTATTATAATTTATTAATATTTATTTATCTTTTTTTTTTTTTTTTTTTTTTCTTTTGTTTTTTTGTTTTTTTTTTTTTGTTTAAAAAATTTGAATATTCTTTTATCATCATTATACATATGATTTCTATATTTATAAAAATATAGTTGATCACTTTTCAATTGAAGTTGGAAAAAAAAAAGCTTAAACCTTTTTTTTTTTTTTTTTTTTTTTTTTTTTTATATTGGGTTTTTATAAATATAATACATTTGATTATTATTATTTAAAAAATGGATTATTATTAAAGCTTGAAATTGGTGAAAAATGTGAAAAAGTGGTATTGATGCCTGGTGGGGATGAAATAAAAATTGGATCTTGACTACTTGCAAAATAATGATGATTTGGGTATGATGATGATGAAGAAAAATTCGAAATATTTCCATTGTGTATTGAGTGCAAGGAAGCGTTCAATTCGGTAAGGTATTCGTCGTTATTGTTGAAAAATCCATTTTGAATAGGTTGGTTCGATATTGATGGAGCAATTTTACCCATTGTATTGAGATCGCTGGTCGCTGGTGATGATGAGTTAGGACTACCACCATTTGTTGGTATAGCACCATTAGAATTCGAAACTAAATTGGCAGAGATAATGTTCTTGTTGTTGTTGTTGTTGTGTGATTGATGTAATGACAATGTTGATGATGATAATGGTGATGTATTAATAGTAGTTTTGGTGGTCATTTTACTTGGACTATTACTAACATTACCTATTAAGCTACTTCCACCACTTATACTTGGACTTCCGTCGTGATTGACAGTATTGCTTTGGTCATTAGGTAAGATGATTCTTGAATGAAGGTCGAGGTTGGAGAGGTTGTTTAATGTTTGATTAAAAGATAAATTAAAGTCAAATGATTGATTAAAGTTCGGGATTCCAAAGTAAGCGCCATAATTTGAAATTTGATTGTGTTGATTATGATCAATAATTGGAATGCTATTACTATCGAGATATGAAGTCGAACCAATACCGTTTAAACTTTTAGATAAACCTGGTATTGGTAATAATGGGTTGTTGGTTTGTTGTTGTTGTTGTTGCTGTTGCTGCTGATGATGGTGATGATGATGATTATTGGTAGAGACAAATTGATGGTTACCAATACCATTTGGAGATTGATGATTATGGTGGTGATAAGAATTAACATTTAAATTTACAGTTGAGTTATTTAATTTTTTCATATTGGATGATGTTTGTGATGGGGAACCGCCATTCATGCTTTGTTGTGGAGAGGTTGGTAAGTGTGGTTGAGATTGAGACAAGTGATGATGTGGAGATGTTTGTTGTTGCATAAAACCATTATTATAAAGAGTGCTATTATTTAAAATTGGTGATGTTTCGTTTTGATCTTTTTTAATAAAGGTTTTCTTTTTTGGAGTTAATTGCTGTGGTGATTGTGGTTGTTGAGATTGTTGTGGTAGCTGAATACCATTACTTGAGCCATTTAAATTGGTAATGTTATTGCTATTATTTAATTCGAAGTTACTATTATTAACAATTCCATTTAAATAACTATTGCTATTTGATATCGATGTTGGAGAATTGTTAATTATTGTATTATTATTATTTCCTATTGAAGGACTGCTTGAGAATGATGGAGAAGATATCGGTTTAATATTATTATTAATAATATTTGTATTGGTGTTGATATTATTAGATTGTAAGCCGTTATTATTATTAGTATTGTTGTTATTATTATTTATATTATTAGGAGTGCCATTATTAACAACTTTTGAAGAAATTTTTCTAGTATTTCCTTTCTTTGAATATCTAGAGTCGAAGTTATGATTTCTTGAAAAAGCTCCCATAATTTTTTCTTTTGATTCGGATGAGAGATTTTGAATATCCTCTTTATATAATTTAGTCGCTCTTGCCCATTCTAATTTTAAAACTCTTCCATCTAAAAGTATTTCTTGTTTGGAGAGTTCTTCAAATGCAGAGTAAGCATTCATTTTGTTTTCAAATTCAATAAAAGCGAAACCTCTAGTCTTTCCAAATTTGTTTTCGGGAATTTCACATCTTTCTAAAGGTCCAAATCTAATAAAAAAATGTTAGCGAATCTAAATAAAAGAAAGAAAAATTTATTAAGCTAAAACAATATTTACTTTGAGAAAATATTGAAAATTGAATTAATTGGTGTTGAGTGTCTAATGTTACTAACATAGATGGTGCTTGATGTTCTATCAATTAAATTCGAAGAAAGCGCAATATCGTTCATATTTACAAAAAATATATTATATTGATAATGATTAGATTGAAATGTAAAGATTGCTTATAAATAATAATATAATATAATATAATATAATATTTTTGAAATTTTTTTTTTTTTTTTTTTGTTATTATTTTGTACAAGTTGTTATATTGTTATTAGGTATATATTAAAAAAAAAAACTATTTATAAAATTGGCAATAATATTATATTATAAATAATTTAAATTTATTGTGGGAAGATACTGGTGATATATAAATACAATTTTATATATTATTTCCTAAATATCTATTTATAAAAGAAAATATTAGTATATATAAGAATAATATTATAAAAGTTTTTTTAATATCATTAATAAAAAAACTCTTACTAAACAAGATAATCCTTCATTCAATAAAACAATTTTTTTTTTTTGTATTATTTAGTTTATATTGTTTATATAATAATATAAAAAAAATTATATATATACAAAAAAAAAAAATTTAAATAAAAAAAAAATAATAAAATTAAATAATAAAAAATAAATAATTTAAAAAAAAAAATATAAAAAAATGTTTTAATTATTACAGTTTACCACAATATTATTAAACTGTTTAAATAAAGAGTTGTTATAAGTTTTTAATTATTTTTTATTTTTTTTTAATTAAATATAATTATTATTAGTATTATCTTATTTCTATTATTATTATTATTATTATTATTATTATTATTATTATTTATCTTTACTATTATCTTTATTATTATCTTTCTTTCTCTTTATCTTTTTTTTTTTTTTTTTTTTTTTGGGAAAAAAAATGTTGTCAAATTGACATAACAAAATTAATTAATTTATAAAAAGAAAAAAATAGAAAAAAAAAAACAAAAAAAAAAAAAGAGGAATTAAAATAAAATTATATATATAAATAAAAAAAAAATAAAAAAAATAAAATTATATATAATGTGTTTATGTGGGTGTGTTTATTATTTTTAGTTAAAAATTAATATGTGAAAGCTGTAAATTTTTGTCACATAATATTTTTTCTCTTTAATCACAAATTTGGTTTTTCTTGCTGAATAATGAAAGGTTAACAAAGGGTATTTTATTAAAAATAAATAAATTAAATTGAATTTATTATTTTTTATTTATTATTTTAAATGGAGACTTAAAATATGTGTGTTAGTGGTTGTAGTGGTTGGTATTAGTGTGTTATTTTATGTGTGGGATTTATTGAGAGAGGGTCTCTTTAAATAAAATTAGAGTTTATGTACATTAAAGATAAATATACATATATGTGCACATAAGTATAATATGGTGATATTTGAAAGATTTATCAACTGATACAAGAATTATATTATTAAAATTACAATAATTTTATATATAAAACTGAAT